TTAATTCCGTATTTAAAAGTTCAGCATAGAATTTTTTACAGAATATAGCATAATTATTGTTAGCTTTGTCTATGGGAGTAATTACAAATTTTTTTTGAAGTTGCTTAATTGATTGAACAATATTAGAAAAATGTGTTGAATTGTTATTCTTATTTAAATTATCCTTATTATTGAAAATAAAGTTTTTAAAGTAATAATAAACTCCCCGTTTCCATTCTGTTAGCATACCTAAAGGTAAAGAGAATCTATTTTATATCTTTAAACAAAAACTATTGAGATCATTAAGAAAGTATTTTAGAATTTTATTGACTGATATATGGTGCAAATCCATTTCGGTCAAATCCGTGGCTAAAATTATCTACTAAAAATTTTTTCTTTGTTAATTTTTCCATGTTCAAATCCACTTCGGGCAAATCCGTGTTAAAATTATCTATTAAAATTTTTTATTTGATAATTTATATAATTTTTCCATGTGCTAATCCATTTCGTGCAAATCCGTGGCTTAAATTATTTGCGAAACAGGTAATTTATGTTTCTCTTTTCCATTTTATCTTTTTTCTTAAATAAACATCTGTTTTCAAAAACTTTTTATGGTCAATTTTTAAAATCATCCAGTATAATATTACCTTGCTCACATCCATTTCGGGCCCATCCTTGGTAACTAGCAAATCGATGCACGGAATAACAAATCACTTCAGCAGTGCGGTAAGAACGACACTTTAAAATCCTCTTGTTACACTCAATTTGCGCTTTTGTTTTCATATTTTGTAATCTGGCAATCTTTCTGCGAAAACATTTTTAAATCATTCTTGAAAAATTTCCGTCCATGTAAGTTGATCTGATTTCGCTACTCGCTTTATAGTCCATGTTTTACTGTTTTTTCTTTTTCTTTTATTTTTTTTTTCTGTTTTTACATGTTATTTTTACTTATTTTTACTTTTTGTGTTCTATTTTATTTGTTGTAATTTTTACAAAAAATTTTTTGAGTGCTCCTCACACTATTGCATTAATATATTTTGCTTTGGCTTTATTGATACAATTGCAGAAAGCACTCTGTTTTCGGATATAATCGTGTGGGCTGATGAAGGGATTATATCTTTCTTTTTTTTCCGGTTTTTTAAATAAAATTTCATCTTTTTTTTCCTTTTCCTTTTTTTTCTTTTTTAAACTGTTGTTTGTTATTTTTTTACTCATTATTTCCCCCTCTTTTCATGTGTCTAATTTTTCTTTGTTTTACTCTTTACTTTCTTTGTTTTAAATGAATGAAATATGAACTAAACTGAAATGAAAGAACAAAGCTATTGTTGATATATAATTGTAACCAGCGCTTCATACTTGTTTTGACCACTTCATTTTGAACTCTTTATTTTCAGACAGATTTTAAGTTTTTCTCTTTCATTTGTTTTGTGTAAATTTTTGATTTAAGTTTTAATTAAATAAATTTTTTTCTCTTATTTTTAAACTATTTTTTAGTATTATTTCTGCTTATTTTTTATGCCGTGAAGACAATAGCTTAAGTCTCCAAAATGAGCACAAAATAAGTCATTCATTTTTTCTTTATTGAAAACTGATTTTTACTTAGAATTTCATATGTGTAATGCTGTTATGTTACTATATAAGCATGCGCTTTATGAATATTAAAAAGCGAGATTTGAATTATTTTCGTATTTTCCAATCAATAAATTCCGATTAATAAATGAAGTTAATAATCTGTATAGGCTATTAATCTATCTGTATAATAGAGGGCTCCGCCCCCTGCTCTGTACTGCTCGCCAATCCCCGATAATTGCTACGCAATTACATTTTTGTAACAAAATTAAAGTCGTTTTCCTGGAGATAAGCTGGCAATTTTTCTGCACCAACATCACATAGAGAGAATATGATAGGATTGTAAAATGTCAGAGGTGCTTAATATCAGCATTATAAACTTATATAAAGCAATTTTAATACAAGCAATATTATAAACTTATATAAAGCGAAAAAGCAATATTATTTAACAGATTAATATAGGGCATTAGCCGGAGATTACTCACCGTATCCAAAGCGCGCGTGGCAGAGCCTAATTTGGGGAGACTATATTTGAGGGCACCCTCAAGTATATTTTTACCCCTAACTCAAATTTATTGCAGATCTTACAGGATGCCGGACGCTCCCTCTATGGTGCTTCATCTCTCCCCCCCCCCAGTAATTAAAATTTTATACTGCAAACAATTAAAACCTAATGAAAAAAAAACTGTAAAATATGGAAAACAAATTAAAGCATGCAATATTAATAAGTTGATGCATGCTGAGTAATATTTCAAAAACAAAAACCATTGCAAGTAATTGCCAAACTAACTTCAATACTGTCAACTGACAATATATTTTAGTTTCAATCAGGCAAAAAGCAAATTCTATAATGAAAATATAATGAAAACATATGTAACTGAAATTCGACAAATTAAATTAAGCAATTTAATTTTTTTGTCATATTGAATACTAACAAAAAAACAAATGTAAAATGAAATAATTATGTTATCAATGATCAATAAAAATTTTTGTCTGAATTGTTATAAAAAATAAGGTGAAAACAATAACATTAAAAATTATTTGCAATAGATCTCTGAATATTCACAAAACCTAGCTATGTACATTTTTCATTGATTTTTCTTTCACATCATTTCGTGTAACAATGATTTGCACTTTTATGCATTATTTAAGAAATATCTCAAACAAATATGAACTGTTAATTATTATTTCTGGCTGCACGAGTTTTTGAAAGTAAGTAAAAAACAATTAAAAGTAAGGAAAAGCAATGATAAAATTAAAAATAATATACAAAACCTCCTTATATACAACATTTTTCATCAATTTCTTTTCCATATTATTCGTTTTCATTTAAAACGTCATGATTCTTCAGCGTTTCTTCGCCGCGCATTCTGCTTTCACGTATTGATAGCACTACGATTATTTTTCCAATAATTTTGTGCTGCTAAATTATGTTCAGCTCTATGTCGCTGCTGATATCGCCTAAGACATTCACGGCAATCCATTTTTTATAAAAGATATAAGTATTTTAAAGTAAACTTTGTTCAATATATTACCCACATTCAATACAAAATAAAAATCCCAACAGGATTTATGTGGTAAGTTTAGTTGTAATACTTCTGCTGACAGCAATAATAAAAATTATTACTTTTTCACACACATGCGTTCGCAATTTTGAAGGGCTGTTTTGTGCATTACCATCCAAAAGTCTTCTGTGATTGGCTATGTGTTATCATTCCACTCTCTTCTCTCTCTCTCTCTCTCTCTCTCTCTCTCTCTACATATATATATATATATATATATATATATATGTATGTATTTCTTGGAGATTAGCTGGAAATTTTTCTGCGCCAACATCACATTGAGAGAATATGAAAGGATTGTAGAATGTCAGAGGTGCTTCTTATCAGCATTATAAACTTATATAAAGCAATTTTAATAAAAACAATAGTTTAAGCTTATATAAAGGGAGGAAGCAATATTATTTAACACATTACTATAAGGCATTAGCCGGAGATTAATCTCTGTATCCGAAGCACGCGTGGCAGAGCCTAACTCAAAACATTGATGATCTTATAAGATGCCGGAAGCTCC